TATTTTGTCACAATTCTGGATGCTAGAAGTCACATTGAGGTGTTAGGTGGATTGATTTCTTCTGAAGCCTCTGTCCTTGTCTTGTAGATATCTGTTTCCCTGTGACTTTCCGTGGTCTTCCCTAGTATCCTCTTCTTTTTTGAACACCAGCTAGCGCCCATACTCATGAGCTGATTTTAACTTTATTATCTCTTTAAATATCTTGTCTTTAAATACAGTCCTTTGGGAGATCTGGGAGTTATTTCTCTGTCAAGAATTTTGCAGAGAAACAGATCAGCCATAATAATTGGCTATGGAAGATTCTGTAATTATATTGAAGTCTGTAGGTAAAATTTCATAAAATTTATTGTCTGTGAAGGTGTTTCTTTGTCTTTATTTTAATGCAATTATGTACATTTCAGATAATTTGTATTTATCTATATAACATTGTTTAACATATGTATTTGCATATCCCTGTCTCCATCACAAAATTATAATCCCAATAGGTGTGTATGTTTTATATGCTTTACATATGACACTGCAGTAAGATAATGATATGAGATGAATTTTCAAAATATGGTTTAATCTTTTGTGTTTACTTAGATATTTCTAACTAATAATATTCTAGAAGTAGCTTGTCTTAAAAATAAGACCCTGTTAAAGGGTTGAAGACTTAAAGAATTTATGTTTACTTGAAATATGTTTTACTTTAGCTGATAGATAAGGCTGGAGAATATATTGACAATCCATAAATGATGGATACACTGTCAGAATCTATTCAGTGATGTGCTGATTCATTACGATGCCATTTTTCTTTGAGTTATTAACAGCATTATACATTAAAATACTTCCTTACATTCCTCCAAATAAATAGACTATTATAAATAGCAGTTCTTTATATTATGTAGTCTTTAAAACACTCTGAGGAGATCTGCAGGATCAAAACTATTTTCAAAATGTAACCAAGATATTATTTACTTAAAATTATGATGACATTTGTACATGTGTTGACGTGTCACACAATAAATGCGAAAATATGTGGAAAAAATTGTGAGAGTCTTTGTATGAATCATGGTGATGATATTAATCCATGACATCTTTGTATTTTTTAGCACTATGTACTTACTGCTTTCCCAAGCTATAGCAGAGGTCTGGATTGGAAGTGGAGCAGCCGGGACTCAAACCAGTGCCCATATAGGATACTGGTACTGCAGCCCGGGGCTTTAACTCACTGCACCACAGCATCAGCAGCACTATGTACTTACAAGAAAAACAAAAAGAAGCGAATTTCACTAAAGATAATCTTTCATGAAATTAAAGTTATCAACTATTAACTCTTGGCTTTTGATTATGTCTGTCTACAACATTCTACATGACTCAATAAGAATATTCATACAGCATCTCTGTTCTATACCAAAGTCTAGTGACTGTCAAGGACAGTACCTGTACAGCTTTTTGAATTGGAAGTTGAACAAGTTGGTCTTTCATGGATACCATTTCTACTTGGAAGAGTGGCAATCCAGTTATGATCATTCACACTTAGATCTTTGACAACTGTGGTATCAGGAAAATGAGAATTACTGCCTCAAGGAAAACAACTACAGCTGATAGCATGTATCATCAATATCTTAGAATTTTAGAAAACTTGTTTCCATCCATGTAAGCTTGACTGATTCCTAAATTTAAAGATTGCTCTGGTAAAATTTGTGGCAATATTAACAAGTGTTATTTTTATGATATTGTATCATAAAATATGTCCACATAATGGATTGAACTAATCCTTAATATTTTCCAAATGACTGATGCATCATGTTATAAAATTATACCTGGGTATAAGGTTCTTTAAAAGGGCAAGAAAAAGATTTTAATGTAATAATATTGTACAACATAGAAGGCTGAATATAAGTTTGACAAGCATCGAAGTTGATGACATCACTGATGCTGTTCATAAAGTTCACTGATAAGGCTTCAGATTTCACAGGGCAACTAAACATTAAGAAACTACTGTTTTTTTTTTGTGTTAGTGTAATGTTAAAGAATAACAGCCATAATTATCCTAAAAGACTATCAAAATACATCTTTTTCTACTTACATATTCTTGTTAAGAACATATTTTCTTCATGCACTTAAACTAAAATAATATATTGAAACAAATTTAATATAGGAGCAAATATGAAATTATGCATTATCTCCCTATTGATTCAGACATCAAAGGGAATTGCAAAAATTTAAGCAGTGCCACTGTTCTGTTTTGTTTTAATATGGAAAATATAATGTTGGTCATGAAAAACATATTCCTTATGCAGTTGGAAAATCAGCCTTTTGCTATCATCATAATAAAGATTAATGCAGCCAAGAATCATCACTGAATGCTAAATCTAGGTGGAAGTTTTAATGAAAAGCAGAATGTTTGCATAGTCTTAAAATATCTTCCCCATATACTTGTAAGTTACAAAGGAAAAAAAGAGTAATTATTTACTGGAGAAATCAACAGCACAGTGAACTGGGGAGGAGCAGGTAGACAACATATATACCAGATGTGATAGCCTGAGAAAGATAGTGCTGTAGCTGAGAATGGATAGTCCATATCAAAATCATGTGAGGGGGTCAGCACTGTGGCGCAGCAGGTTAACGCCCTGGCCTGAAGCACTGGCATACCATATGGGTGCCAGTTTGAGACCCGGCTGCTACACTTCGCATCCAGCTCTCTGCTATGGCCTTGGAAAGCAGTAAAAGATGGCCCAAGTCCTTGGGCCCCTGCACCTATGTGGGAGACCTGGAAGGAGTTGCGGCCATTTGGGGAATGAACCAGCTGATAGAAGACCTTTCTCTCTCTCTGCCTCTCCTCTCCCTGTGTAACTCTGACTTTCAAATAAAATAAAATAAATCTTTTTAAAAAAATCATGTAAAACCACATGACATAGCCAAAATGAAAAACACTCTTGCAAAAAAGAAACATAATGGCATTTTCAAAAATATTACCATAAAAGACAAATGTTACAGATTTAAACAAGGCTAAAGAGAAGGTATAAATATAGTAAGTGCCATATCTGGTCCTAGCCTGGATCCTGCACCAGAGGGACAAAAATGCCGTAGAAGGCTCCATTCGGTTAAAGTGACAAAATAGAAGTACAGGTGGTAAATTGTGCTGCATCAAGGCTAAATTGTGATTGTAAAAGAATATACTGATTCGTAGGTAACACACACTGAAATTTTTGGAGTAAAAGGGCTTAATGTTTGTATTTTACCTTCAAATAGGGAAGAAAACAAATTTTAATGTACAAATATAAATGTGCATTTTGTTTTTGTATTTATATATCAATATATACCCACACATGATTAGAGGTGTATGCACACATGTAGGGAGAGAGTGTGAGAGTACACAAATGATTTTTAAGATGAATAAAATGCTAATAATAGATATATCTAGATAAATGGTATGCATGTGTTCTTTGCTATGCCAGTTCTTTCAGATTTTCAATACGTTTCAATTATTTCCTAATAAAAAGTCTGAAAGCTAGTTACTTTTGTCCCTATGTAATGGTTAATTATTTTTAATGAATTACTAAATATCTATATTTGAAAATTGTCCAGTTTACATATATGATAATAAATTATAAATGTTGATACTAAAATACTATTATATAGTATTTTAAAAAAAGTTCATTGGAGTCCTTGATGATTTTTAAGGCTATCAATGGGTTCTAAGACCACAGAGGTTGAAGATTGTGGTTTACACAATAGTGGTTAGGTAGGTGTCCTCTTCATTTTCTCTTCTATTTTATGACATAAGTTAAAGAGAAAAGAATATATAGAGTAAGCCATTAGCTTCTCTATAGTTTAATTTTCACATTTGTAAAATAGGAAAAATAGTAGTGCCTATCTCAGAGGCTATTGTAAGTTTTAAATCAAATATTATTTGAAAATGCTCTCAACTGATGACCACACTAGAAGGCATCCTTGTGGGGAATAATGTTTCTGCTGTATTCTTTTTTTCTTTCATTTGTTTGTGCTTTGGAAAGTAATTTTGGTTACAATTATATGCATCTGTATCACCACAAAAAGAAACCAAAGAGTATCAAAAAAGTTTTTTTTTAAGAGACAGCGAGAGAGAGAGACAGAGAGAAAGGTCTTCCTTTTCCGTTGGTTCACCCCCCAAATGGCCGCCAAGGCCGGAGCTATGCCAGTCCGAAGCCAGGGGCCAGGTGCTTCCTCCTGGTCTCCCATGCGGGTGCAGGATCCAAGCACTTGGGCCATCCTCTACTGCCCTCCCGGGCCACAGCAGAGAGCTGGACTGGAAGAGGAGCAGCCGGCACTAGATCCCAGTGCCCATATGGGATGCCAGCACCGCAGGCAGAGGATTAGCCAAGTGAGCCACGGCGCCAGCCCAAAATAGTTCTTAAAATTCAAGTTTACAGTGGTTCATGGCTCTTAAATAAATGGTTAGGGGGAAACAGAAATGTGAAGATGAGCAAATAATCATGAGTTTCTGGAAATCCTTGTTATCAGAAAGAAGATACACTTAGGAAGTTGGACCAACAATTATATAAAAAATGGTTGATTGAATATATTACTGGACAGGAAACAGTTCTCCCTCAGTGATGAACTATAATTGCCCTCTTTATCACTAGTTCTATTGGCCTTCCATTTTCCAGTTATAAATCCTCTGCTGTCAATGAGTATGTGTATACTGGGTTATTTAAGTTGTTGCAACATTATTCTCCTAGGGGAAAATTAAGAAATATGTAGTATTGTTTTGTGGCATTTCCACCATTTCCCCCAGTCCAAGTCTAAATTCACCTCTATTTTATAACTCTCTATCAAGTATCAAGCCGAAGGAAAATAAAGAAAATTAGATGAAAATTAGATTGTTGTAGTAGTCACACACCTAATTGTAAATTCAAATATAATTGTTTTAAAAAGAGAAATTAAACAATAAATAAATGTAAAGGCTTATGTCATTTTTTTGTTAAACAGTTTATTGTGTTCTTTTTTACTATATTATGACTTTTTTTTAACAGATCATCAGAAACTGGAAAGGGAAGCTAGAATTTGCCGTCTTTTGAAGCACCCCAATATTGGTGAGGAAACATTTTCAATATACTTTAAATGTTAATTTAAAATTCATGTTATATGCTTTCTTACCACTAATATAACTATTAGGAAACAAGCTCATATATTTGTTCCTTGTTACATTTGATTCTTTGAAGTTTTTTATATGATTGCTTGATGATGCTATCATTGAAGCAGGACTGGAAAATAAAAACTGCCTCTAACTTAAACTAGTCTCAGTTTGTGGACTTCCTGAAAGTGATATGTTAAGTCAGTTAGCAGTGTCCATTTCCTGTTGTGCTGAAAACTCACTGCACACCAACCAGAAGAAAAACTGAATGTAACTTAAAGAATAAATAAATTTAAGTAATCTTTCACTATATCATATTAGCTTTATTTTCACCATGTATTAGAGTTTGCTACATTAACTAGTTGGGTATCTTCTGTAAGCTCATATAAAATGAAAATAACAGTAATTTCCCTTATTTGGAAAGAGAGTAGTTTTGAAGGTGAAAATGAAATACATATAAAAAAATTGAAAAGATATATTTTTTAATTGTAAAACTTATATAAACTTTAGAAAGTAATGTAGAACATTAGTTGAATACTGCTTTTGGTTGTCTTTAAAACTTGTTCAGCTACTGCCAGTGAAGTGTGGAGAGACAGAATTTATGCCATTAGTTAACTCAGTGAAAGTACTTCCCATCTGTTCTCTAAGAAGTTTACCTTTTATTGATTGATTCTATTTCAGAAATGAGAAAAATAACTTCAGAATATTGTTCCTCCTCAATTATAAAATAGCAAAGCAGTTTTCTAAATGAAAAATTAATTGATGAATATAAGAAAACCAAAAGAAAAAAAAAAACAAGTGGAAGAAAAAGCAAAAAAAAAAAAACTAAAAATTTTGAGAATAGTTTTTATATTTTTGGAAAAATGTTACTGTCCCAGAACTCTGGGTTTTATTGTCAAACAAAATAGTTCTGACCTAGAAGTAATGAAAAAGGAGATGATAATACCTCAGAATTTATAAAAGTATTCACTGAAAAGTATCCTTTTTTTTATGCATAGGACCATTCTTTTTCTATTCATGCTTCCAAGTGTTCAGTGTCCTGCCTTTAGAGGGAGTTGTTAAGGGACTGAATAAAACTATGAAGTGAATCTGAAAGAATAGCATGCTGGCAGCTCTTTAAAAGCAGCCTCTTGTTTTAGGAGAGGTCAAAACAGGTCTGAAATGTGAATATACCCCATACAAGTATTTTATCCTGACAGAAGTCTGTGATGTTTCTTGGTTGACTGTAAGGTTGCCCCCTTATCCACTGGTGGATACTATTCCAAGGCCCCCTTTATTTGCTTGAATTGCAGATATAATTGAATCCTATTTATCCAGTCATATGCCTCATATTGATGTCTCAGTCAACCATGGGTTACATATATGATAGTGATCCCATAAGATTATATTGCCTGCTGAGGCTGTAGCCATTGTATTTGTGTAAGGGCACTCTTTTAATATTAATACACAAAAAATTGCACCTAATGAACTTTTTCTTAGACTGTATCCTAAGTGATTAAAGCCTGAACTGTGTTTTTTCCTATAAATACATCTTATTATAAAATTTAATTTATAAATTAGGTATAGTAAGAGCTTAACAACTAATAATAAAATTGACAATTATGACAACATACTCTATTAAAAGTGATGTAAATGTGATTTCTCAGACTATTTTACTGTACTGTACTCATCCTGCTTCTTGTGACAGTGTGGGGTGAGAGAAATGTTTTATGGATTCTTTTTTTGGCACTTATGAATTGCCAGCATCAGTGCTTCTTCTCTTGGCAACCATTATTAATTGACACAAGGATTACTGGAATACAAGTTCTGTGATGGCATGACAGTTGATTTTATAACCAAGAGAGCTGCTAAGTAACCCAACTGGCTGATGGTATATCAGCATGGATACTTCAGACAAAGGGGTAATTCATGTCCAGTTCAGGACAGAGCGGGGTAGTGTAAGATTTTAACATGCAACCCAGAATGGCTTTAAGTTTAAAACTTAGAGATTGTTTTTTTCTGCAGTTTTCCATTCAGTATCCTCAGACTCCAGTTGATCATGGGTAACTCAAACAGAAAACAGAACCACAAGTAAGGGGGAGAAGGGTGGCTGCTGTAGTAGTTTGCAAGGACCACCCTAAAAAAGTACCACAGACTAGGTGGCTTCAAGAACAGAAAGTATTTTTATCTACTTATTTTAAAGACATATTTATTTGCTTGAGAGGCAGAGTTACAGAGTGAGAGGAGAGGGAGAGAGAGAGAGAGAATATCTTTCTATTATTCACTCCCTAAATGGCAGCAAACAGCCAGGTCTGAGCTGTCTCCAACATACATTGCAGGACCCAAGTACTTGGGCCATCTTCCACTGCTTTCCTAGGTACATTAGTCAGGAGCTGGGTCAGAGTGGAGCAGCTGGAAGTCACACTGGCACTCATAAGGGATGCTAGTGTCACAGATGGTGGCTTAACCCACTGCACTGTAACACCTGGCCCTTACTTGTCTGTCTATTTATTTGAAAGCAGATTGATACACACACACACACACACACACAGAGAGAGAGAGAGAGAGAGAGAGATCTTTTATCCACTTGTTCACTCCCCAAATGACTACAGTAGCTGGAACTAGGCCAGTCTGAAGCTAGGAGCCAGGTACTTCATTTGGGACTCTCATGTGAGTGGCAAGGGCCCTAGTACTTCACACAAGTATTTTTCAGGTGCATTAGCAGAGAGCTGAGTTAGAAGCAGAGCAGCTGGACTGACACCTGGATGTTGATGCCACCATCACAAGTGGTGGCTTAACCCACTGTACTGCTACCCCAGCTCCAGAAAATTATTTTTTTACAGTTACAGAAAACAGAAGGCCAAGATTAAGGTATTGGAAAACTTGGTTTCTTCTGAGACTGTTCTCCTTGGCTTGTAATTAGCTATCTTCTCCCGGTTCCCATGAACTTTGCTCTGTATGTCTATGTCCTAATTTATTCTTCTTCTAAGGGTACCAGTTGGATACCCAGAGGAATAAAGGCCACAGAAGTGATTTCATTTTAAATAAAATGACCCTTTAGACACTTTATCTTCAAGTATAGTCACATTTTGAGATGTAAGAAGTAGGAGTTCCACAGATAAATTTTGGGGAGAAACACTGAACCCATAACAACTGGCTAAAGAGAAATTATATAACGTTGACCCATGATCATTCAAATAACACTACTTTTGCTCATATTTAAGATAAAATTAAATATTTGTTTAATGAATTTGAAGTTCCTGTGTATTATAATTTATTTGTTTTGACTTTTTTGTTAAAAGATTTTATTTACTTATTTGAAAGGTAGAGTCATGGAGAGGGAGCGACAGAGAGAGGTCTTCCATCTTCTGATTCTCTCTCCAGATAGCCACAACAGCAGAGCTGAGCCCATATGAAGCCAGGAGCTTCTTCCAGATCTCCCATGTGGTTGCAGAGGCCCAAGCACTTGGGCTATCTACCACTGCTTTCCCAGGCCATACCAGAGAGCTGGCACCCATATAGGATAATGTTGCTATAGGTGGAGGCTTAGCTCACTGTATCACAGTGCCAACCCCATTTTTTGTTTTTATCAAAGATCTTCTGTGAAACTCAAATTTTGTGGATTATGAAAGTAATTTCTGGGGCTGGTGCCAGTAGGTTAATCCTCCGCCTGTGGCACTGGCATCCCATGTGGGTACCAGTTCTAGTCCCAGCTGCTTCACTTCCAATCCAGCTCTCTGCTATGGCCTGGGAAGGCAGTAAAAGATGGCACAAGACTTTATGCCCTTGCACTTACATGGGAAACCAGGAAGAAGTGCCTGGCTCCTCTCTTCGGATTGGCATAGCTCCAGCAGTTGCAGCCATTTGGGGAGTGAACCATCTGAAGGGTGATCTTTCTCTTTGTCTCTCCGTGTCACTCTATGTAACTCTACCTGTCAAATAAAATAAATAAAATCTTAAAAAAAAAAGTAGTTTCCTTGATTTCTTTTAATAGACCCAAGCCAAGCATCCTATAAACTCTCAAGCTAAAATAAGAACTATTTTCATTTTGATGCTGCATGCAAAAGCAAGCAAGCAAGCAAGCAAACTTTATTAACAAAAGCAGAAAGTTGTTCAGTGGGGAAACTTCTACAGTTTTTGACCTGGATAGTATCATCAGTCCACTCTGATGCATCTTACACTTTTTTTTTTCAGGGAGTCGTAATAGCCAAACAGCATAAATCTTTTCTTTTTGAACATTCATAATATTTTTATTGTTGTATTTGATATGAATAGCATAAATGTTCGATGTACCTCACTTGAATTTTTGTTGCACCTCTCAAGCTTTCGGGAGTACAGAAGGAACTTTGGAAGTTCCAGATCCCTGAACCCTAGGACCTGTTTCTACCTACAAGAAAGACTTCTAGTGACTCTGTGTCTCAGGTTATATAATCATAGGTAGATTAAATTCAGAAGACATAATTTCAAAAATAATAAGACTGAAAAATTCACCTACATCATTCAGTCAGCCTACAAGTTGTCATTCTGGGAGTATAGCAGGAAAAATGTCCTTGCCCTGTTGAAGTTTGCACTGGTGGTGGTGGGGGGGAAGTAAATAAGGTATAGGATGTTAAATATTGACGGTTGGTGGGGGAAGGGGAAGCAAAGAATAGAATTAAGCAGTGTTAGGATAACCAGTTTTAAATAGGTAATCAGAACCACTCCACTGAGAAGGAAGGAAGCATTTGATAAAGACCTAAAAGATGTATGTGTGTGTGTGTGTGTGCAATTTGTCTTTGTAGGAAAAAATAAGTACAGATCATGGAAACAGCCTGTGTAAAGGCCTTGAGGCAAGGCCTTGACCAGGATGTTCCAATTTTTATCTAATTAGCAAAGTGAAGATCCTTTAGTTTTTATTTTATATTGACTATCTTAACTGATGTGTTATCATGCCATGCAATCTAGCTGTATTTACTCATGTAAAAAATGATTTTCAAACAA